GGAACTGGTCTCCACATGGGATCCGAACCCTCGGCGGGAGCGCCGCCGCGCTCCTAAGCGGTGCACTCTCCAGTGCGCCACCGGGCTGGCCCTCCACAAAAATTATTATTGAAGTTCAAACTTTAATAATTAATTTTTTTGTGTGTAATATAGTCTATTAATGAGAGTGGAATTCTTTCTTTTGGGATAGGGGATAACATCGCACTTAATGAGGGTTCAAAATTAGTCATTTCCATTATCAGTTGCAATTTTTCATGTTAATGCTGATACATAATGAGATTATACATTTCATTTTTGAAGATGTCCTTTCACAGATGTGTAGCACTTGGGACATTTGAGTGCCATGTGACTGCAATTTGCAGTGTGCTGCACCTTAGTGGGAAGTGATGAATGCACCATATATGGTCTCTGTGGCAAACTACTCAACTCCTGTTGTGCAAAAAGCAGCAAATGACAATACTTAAAGATGAATGAATATGATTGTGCCCTAATAAAACTGTACTTGTGGATACTGAAACTTGAACTTCATAGAATTTTCACATGTAGTAAAATATTTTTTGATTTCTTTTCAACTCTGTAAATATGGAAAAAACATTTTCAGCTTGCAAGCTATACAAAAACACAAACTGGCCAGACTTTTATCACATGGATGGTTAGGGATTATAACAGCAGCTGCCAGATTACAGGCAAATAATATATTACCCAACTTCCTTCTTCCACATTTAAGAACATGTGTAATTACATTAGGCCCACCCAAATAACCTAGGATGCTCTCCCCAGCACTTTAGTATGCACTTTCATAATTAGTGCTGCTGCTGGATTGTACACACTAAAGAAGCAAAAGCCAGTTTCAAATCGTGTTAGTTTTGCTAATAACCAACCCTAACACAAAGGTCTTCAGTAACTTATTTTTGAAGATCCATGTATCCCCAATTACTAAAGTTTCTATTTTCCCGTGAAAGACTAATATAAAATAGCTCAAGTAGAATCAAGTAGAGAAAAACCATCCAGATACTTAAAATGGGAAATTTAGAATGACCCCTGACAGTATTTTTCAGTAGATGGTATGATAATCACCTTCACTTTCAGTATAGTATGTTAACAGGCCTATGGGAAGGTAACTTGTTGAAGTCCATCATCAGACAGGCCAAACCACATTTTAAAAATAAAATATTTTTGGAAGCTTTTTCAAATGAGCCTTCTAAGATAAAAGTAGAGGAAAATGCACAGGTAGATTAGAGCTCAGTTATCAATTGTATCTTACCAGCCTCAAAGCACTGAGGGAAACAACCATTTATGTAACTGAATTCCTGGTCCCCATCCCCAGCGACTACTCTTTAGACCCAATCTCTGTTCACCCTGGGGAGGAAGCCCCATCATTTGGAACTCAAGTGTACAGTGAAACTAGCCCTTAGTAGAAAGTATTAGGGAATTTGCTTCTTCACTATGGGACATTAACAGGAATATCATCCATTCCTTTATTCAACTAATATTGAACTCCTAGGCACTGAGGGTATAGCAGAGACTCAGACCCAAAAAAGTACTGTTCTTGTGGAGTTTTTCTAGTATACACAAGTAAACCAAACTACGGGAAAAAAATAACAGGAGTGTTGGAGGTTAGGGCATATAATTTTTAATAGAATGAACCCATCATCAGGGTCTACTGACACATTAGAACAGAGACTTAAAGGAGTAAGCCCTGTAGCTATCTAGGGGAAGAATATTCCAAGCACAGGAAAAACAAACATGGAAGTCCTAAGAATGTACAAAGCCCATTAAGGAGGATCAAAGACAGTAGTTCGGCTGGAAAATTAAGGGGAAATAGTAGTAAGAGACAAGTCAGGCAAAATCACTCGTGACTTTGAGTCAACTGACCATCAAACATAGACTTCCACTAGAAGGGACACAGGAGACCAGGGAGGCAGTAACAATCCAAGTAGTAAT